TAGGAAAGAGATGGAGTTTGTCTATCTGATGCACACACAGGGTGAACATCGGAGGGATTTGGGAAGACAAGAATTGTACCTCCTAATAATACCGTGCTGCAGTACAGTAGGTCAAAGGCACGCAAGGGATGAGGAGAGGACATATAGATACTAAGCAGAGGTGATAGTCTTTCTCGCTTCTAGTCTTTATAATCTGCTACTAGTAGTAGTGTAGAACCTGATCCCACCACGACGGTGTTGTCAGCAAACTTAATCGTTAGTAGGCCGTCTCGTTGTTATCAGAGATCAGGCCCACCACGACGGTGTCGTCAGCAAACTTGATGATGGTGGTGGAGCTGGTAGTGGCCACACAGTCATATGTGTACAAAGAGTACAGCAGGGGCTCAGAACACACCCCTGGGGGGCTCCAGTGCTGAGAGTGGTGGAGGCTGAGACATGTCCGCCCATCCTTACTGCCTGTGGTCTGCCAGTTAGGAAGTTGGAGATCCACTGACACATAGATGAGCTGAGTCCCAGATGCTCCAGCTTGGTGGTGAGTGTGGAGGGAATTATGGTGTTAAATGCAGAGCTGTAGTCTATGAAGAGCATTTTAACATAATTCCCCCTTCTAGTGTCCAAGTGAGTGAGTGATGTGTGGAGGAGATGAGAGATGGCATCGTCTGTGGAACGATTTGGACGGTAAGATCGAACTGTAGTGGATCCGCTGTGCAATACTGGACCTCAGTCGGTTTTATTTTCTCATTAGATTTTGTGTGACAAGAAGACGTAAGGAAAATTTTCTTTGACTTACTAGTAGTACTAATATTGTGCAGACACAACAGTCATTGTTGGTCTCTTTTCCCTATCAGATTAAACTGAAACCCTTTCAATGCATTACTGTTCGCTAGTAATACGCTTAAAAAGTATCTATAACAAGAAAGAAATTATACTAAAATGGTCCAACTACCAGCTGGAAGTGAGTGAAAATAGCGACCATATAAAGTCCAATAGAAAATCTTCCTGAAAGTTCTATAGATAAACTGAGAAAAACGCATTCAAGGTGGCCTTCTATATAAGTTCTCCAAGACATGTCAGGAGTCCTTGAGAAGCAAAAATAAAGTAAAATGCCCTCGCGCTCTGTCAGTGCGCCCCCAGGGGGCTGTGGGCTACAATGTAGCTTGCCATCAACCTGCGAGTCGTGTGAATGGGTGGATGACTGGATTGTAAAGCGCTTTGGTGTCTATGATCCTGGGTCCTTTTGACCCAGCGTTTTGTGTTTTCTCTTCGTGATTTTGGTTCTGTTCTTCCTCTGGTTAGTGTTTACTCTGTTCTGCCCGTGTGTTCCTGTATCTAGTCCGCGTTTCTTAGTTTGTGTCCTTTCATGTGTAAGTTCCTGTTTTATTGTGAAGGTCTGTGTCTTATGTGTTGGCATAATAACTAGTTACCGTGCTCGTTACCACAATAATAACGTAGTTACTGTAACGCGTTACTTAATAACGCGTTAGTCCCAACACTGGTCACTATATAGCACTGTAACATTAGAGAGCACAGGTACAGTTACTGCATATCCTTGTCATTCCCACAGTGCCACATATTACCAAGATCTCATTGGGTAGATAGGAGGAATACTGTATTATGTGTTGTACTGCCGCCCTGGGATATAAGAGCCTGATCACAGTCGCATGCCACACACACACACACACACACACACACACACACACACACACACACACACACACACACACACACACACAACGTCCCTACTACCATAAGGAATTTCGCAGGAGCGAAACAGTGATTTCCATTAATGGCAGTGGGCGGCGCGCGCGCACAGCTCGTCTCTTACTGCGATGTACATGCGCGTCCGTAATCGTCCAACCAGCCAGCGAGCCCGCACTCCTCAAATCAGACCCAGCCGAACCAACCCGAGCCGAACTACAACGATCCGAAACGACATCCCCGCCAGCGCAGTCCAAGGCTGGAGAGACGGAATGATGACCTCTTAACGCAGCTTTTACGCACTCGACCCGCTGTCCGTCCCTTAAAAGCTCACATTCCGCCTGTTTGCGCTTGATTCGCGTGCTGAGATCATGGACACAGCACTTCTAAGGACCCATATTATCTTCTCTCTGCTTCTCCTTTTCATCCAAATAGGTAAGAAACTGAGGAGGAAAATGATAAGAATCCCAATTTAAGTGATTGTGGTGGCTGACAAGTGATGCCGTGAATGTTTCTGAACGCCGTTTAAAGACCGAGCGGTGGGTCCGTGTTATTCCCCCGGAATATTCGGCACACTTTCAGCCCGTGTTTCCAAATGTGCAATCGGTGGAAAAGACAGAAGGATTACACATGTTGCCGCTGGCTTCTCGGGGTTTCAGGATTGTTGTTTCAGAGGAAGCGTGCGCAGTGCATGCAGCGGTTTCCCTGATCATGCTTTAGACGTGTTGAAAGCGTTTTCAAAGACAAGTTGAAGAGTGAATGAAATGTGATGCTCGCTGTGAGCGCGCTCGGTGTTTGATGTTTTATTTGGTGAACGCTCGCGGTCTTCTAAACGCATCTGAGAAGATAAATATTAATCAACATTTTCAGTGACATGACGGGATTCCACTGGGCTTTCTCTGAGTCACAAACATGTAGATACAATCTACATTTTCATTTAAATTGGAAGACGCGGGAATCCATATGAAAGCTTAATGTTTAGCTCATTGTGGTTTAAGTACGGTTCTATATAATGTTTCAAAGTACTTTTTGGTTTGGCTGCTGAATTCACGCCTTTAACATTTACTCACCTCAGTTATTATTTTTTGACCTTGTTGGCTCATTTTAACCTCACCTTAATAGCTTGTTGATGCCAAATCACAGATACTCATTCGTGTATTGAAATTGGTACAGATTTGCGTAACAGGTGGGGAAGAAACTGTGAATTCTGTGTATCCTGACTGCAAACACATTACCAACGACTAATAACTGGAATACATAAGCATCCGATCTGTTCAGATTTCATCAAAACCAGATTAGTGGCAGTTCCAAGATCTAGCCCCCTCATGGAGCAAAGCCAAGTTACATGAATTAAAGCGAATAGTGTAGCTTTAGATGGTAACTTTCGTTCACTGTGAAATATATTATAGTAGTAAATTGATGCTGAAATATAACCAATATGGCATATCTAAGTGTTATCATAAAACCTGAGGCAAACAGTAAAATTGAAGTGGCCCCAGGAGGGATTTTCCTGGCACAGAGTCAGGAATTTTTCAACAAGAGTTCAAAAGTGAAGAATGAGATGAAGATGTTTCTAAATTTGCTGAGGTGCTCTTTGAACTATTTAGAGGGACGCCTGCCAATCTCAACCAGCTTCTGTCTGAAGCTGGTTGAAAAACGTAGATTTTGACCTCATAACAAACAGTCAATTGTTCAAGGTTGAGTCTTAATGAGGTTATCCAACTGATTTTTATTCAATCGGCTGTTCAAAAGGCAGAATCCCATGACGGTCCAGTTATTAAGCCGAGATCAGACGGTTTCAAACGTTTTCACGTCCCGAAACACAAACCTGTCTGCTCCCATTTGATGAGATTTTCTCTGATGACATCCTTTCTTTTTTTTCCTTCTTTTAATTTGATAAACTCTAAATTTGTACAGAAATAGATGCATCATGATAGATGGTACGAGGGAGGGAAGATACCTGAAATCTTCCTCTACTACATGGTTGATTGGTTGGATGGTTGAATTCAATAATAGCAGTGCAATTGCTATTGCTCTCATGTCAAGAAAAAAAAAGAAGAAGAGGATCAGAATCTGCATAAATTCCACCGGCCTTTAACTCCTTCCACCACCTGCTGTCACCACAGGGTAAAGGCCATATCTTAATTAAATGGAGATGCTCGGAATAAAGAGATCTGTGCATCTGAGATTTGGTGCGATCGGCTGAGATCATTTTCTACTGAACTTTAGAGGAGTTCCTTTCTAAGAAAAGCCTTTGCACGGTCAAAGTTTGAGATGAAGTTGTTGGCGTCCACTTGTTGTTGATTCTCTTTGCAATTATCTGATGCAGTTTGGTCCATTGCTTTTTGAATGTTTATGTGAAAGCTTATGTTTTCAGATACATAGTGAGAGAAATATTGTCTCCCCTCTCTCGAGGAAGCACAGCGTCTCCCCCCACCATCTGTCTCCCAATATGCCCGGACACCACACAACATCACACACATTTTCTTGCTCAGCCTTGCTGTCACACTCCTCCGTGCAAACACACACACATACAAATAGCAGTGAACACAGTCCTTTTTGCTGCGCCTTATGCTTTTTAACAGCACAGTCTCCATACAGCGTACATCTGACTTCTCAGTGTGTATCACACCTGCTGCCTTTCATGCTCTATCTGCAGTTTAGCAGGAAGGAGAGGATGTGAGCTTGTGTTCCCTTTTGGATACAACATTTTGGCTTTGTACATATGAAGAACCAAGTGTTTGGAAACCCCCATAACATGGAGTTTTAGTATCCTGTGATCCTGCTGGTTAGAGATTTAAACCTAATCTGATTCAGCTCAGCATGGTGGTTGTCTCCTCTGGTGCTCTTACCACTTCACAGCAGACTCTGGGCTTCGCTCAGCTCACACGTTAAACTCAGCTTTCCAAACACAACACCTTGTAGCTGATGCTTTTTCCCCCAGCTTGGTTCTGCAGTTGGTTGCGCGGTACCACCAATCATTTTGTATTGAGTTTAGCTCTAGTGTTGAGCTTGGAAATAGTAGCAAAGGCACTGTGGCTGTAATAGATTTGGCAGTGCATGACAGATAGTTAGATGGAGTGAGACAGCAACAGGCTGCATGCTATTGATCAGTGTGTGTGTGTGTGTGTTTGATCTGTGAGTGTAGTGTGTACTAATCTCATCAAAATTCCTCTGATCATCAGATGAATTTCACAAAGCCCCCTGTGCAGAAAATCTGAGCATTACAGCACCATGCACTGTCATCTCTGAAGTGTTCAGCGAATTGTACGGTCTGCTTGTGAGATACCATCTGGCTGGCCAGTGCACTCTGGGAATTTGAACCAAAGGGATTGCATCCGGTGACATAAGGATAGGATGCCTGATGGTGTAATAGTAATTGGCTACAAAATATTGGCACGTACATCCTGGCACCCCTAGTGAACTGAGCATGCTCCATGTGTAAACACATCAATTATATAAAAGAAGCAGTCAAATCAGTCAAATAGATGGTAATGCACAATAGACATGTCTCTTCTGTAACAGTTAGATTTTAAATTTTTACTTTTAAATGAGATCTGTTGCCTTTTTTCCTTTTTTTTAATATACATTATAGAATATTTATTGCTATGGTGGTTGATGCTCATATTAGATACTGTCGACGACTGTAATTAGAGCTTTATAGAGAATATAATACATAAACTGATACATACAGTACATACGACTGTCCCTGTGTCCCCTCAGTTTGAATGAAGACACCACCTTGTCTCCAAACTGTTGCCAACTGCTCACTGAGCCATAAGGAAACTTGAAAAAGTGAGATCCAAACCAGAAACGGAGAATGTTTTCCTTCAATGTAAAAGCTGTGCCTTATCAGTGCAACCAACACGTTTCAGAAGGTGCAACAACCAATTGCTAACCAGCAGGACAATGCCCATTTTTCGCTGGTGACCGGAGTTTGCCAAGGGGTTGTGATCATTCTCTTGGGCTCTGTGACAAGTCTAAGAATTAAGAATGAATGAAAATTAGTAATATAAGCGAACTTTAAAATCAACCATATTGACATTAAATCTGTTACTTTATCAATCTTCGTAGGCAAATTGAACACCACGATAAGCTGTGCAGGTTCGTAGCTTAGCAAAGTCGTACTAAAACATTTGACCGATTTTCGAGCGCCGTGTAGCACATAAATCGTTTCGAGGTCAGTAAACTCAACCAGAATTCATACATAAGGCACACGGGATTATAAGCGGCACTGTCGATTTTCAGAAAAATCAAAGGATTGATTTTAAGTGTGCCGTATTTTTCAAAAAACACGGTAATAACGACGGCCCGCTAGCATACCAAAAATAGTGCTTTGTTGTGTATCTGACGGACGAAAGCCAAACCAGTTCCACACCACTGAAGTTGCAGCATTTTTACAAAACAATTCTGGTTCATCCGTTTCATTCAACGATCTGCTTTCACCCTTCTCATTCTCCGTCGCTGCCATGCTTTTTCCACCATGTGCGTATAAAAACAAAGGCACTGCGCATTTACCCATATCACGATATTTCATTTTCTTATCGTTGCCCAACATTATACCGTGAACGGTATGATATGGCCCAGCCTTAAATTAAATCATGACAGACAGTGCACGTTTTCAGCTTTAATTTGAGGGGTTTTACAAAAGTAATGGATTCATTGTTAAGGATTGCAGCCATTCTTGTACACAGAGAGCCATTTGCAGAGGCTCAACAGTAATTGGACAAGCAAACATAATTTTAAATATAAAGATTATTTTTAATACCTGGGCCTAAATTCTATGCAGTGACTGCCTGAAGTCACATACACATAACATGCTTCCCTTGAGATGCTCTGCTGTGTCTTTACTACAGCTGCCTTCAGTTGCTGTTTTTTTGTGGGTCTCTCTGCCTTTAGTTTTGTCTTCAGTAACTGAAGCATGCTCCCTTGGGTCAAGATCAGGTGACTGCTGTGGTCATTCAAGAATATCCCATTTCTTTGGCATGAAAAGTTTCTGGGTTGCTTTTGCATTATGTTTTGGGTCAGTATCCATTTTCACTGTGAAGCATTGTCTGGTTAGTTTTGGAGATCAGTTTTGACTAAATCTGAACAGAAAGTAAACCCTGTACACTTCACAGGCCATCCTTCTGCTCCTATCAGTAGTCATATCATATACACATTAGCGACGTGACGAGCCATTCCTGCACGTGCCATAATACTGCTTTGGATCATGAGCTGTTCCTTTCCTTCCTTCATACCTTTCTCTTCCAAACATACTGGTTTAAGTTACAAGTCTTAATTTTATCTCTCCAACGAACCAATTACAATGAGATACTTCCCTTCTGTTCTTGACAATGTGACATTGGAAATAACTCTGTGATCATCCACTTTGTCCTCTGTGGCATTAGGCCTTTTGGTGTTGCCCGTACATGCCTTCTTTTTAAGAATATAGA